GGAAACTGCACAACTGTCGCTAGGCGGCGGTGAGGGCAGCGCAGATCCATGTCAGACCTCGCGGCTGCCTCGGGGGCTGTAGTGCTCAACTGTCGCCACTTTCCTGAACTCCTGGGAGGCACGGCGGAGATGAAGGCAACGCAGATTGTGCACATCTGGCGATGTGTTCTTCTGTATGGAGCGTTCATACAAAAATTCGCCGAACGTGGAGAAGGGAGTGGGTACGTCCCGGGTGATTGCTTCTATTATTCGGGCGAATACCCCAACCATACGCGGGTGCGAGTGCCGCAAGGCTGGTGGGACGAATGAGGGTCAGCTCCCTACGGGGCCACGAAGCGTGTGCAGAATGTGTCGGAATGGGGGCAGGGCCGCCATGCGGATCCTTGCGCTGGGGCCTTCGGTGGAGCCCCCCTTGGGGCCACGAAACGTGCGATGGGTGCGATGAAGGCGTGTCGGGGCCGCCATGCAAACCCCCCCTGCTGGTGGGGACCCCAGCGGAGCCCCCCCCCCCATATGCGGCCACGGAGCGCGTGAGAGGGGTGCCGAAATGGGCGCGGGGCCGCCATGCGGAGGCTGCCGAGAGGGCCTTCGGTGAAGCTCCCCGTCGGGCTACGGAGCGTGTGAGAGGTTTGCCGAAATGGGTGCGGGGCCTCCATGCGGACCCTGCCGCTGGGGCCTTCGGCGGAGCTCCCTGTGAAGGCACGAAGCGTGTGAGACTGTGCCGACCTTGGCGCGATGCAGGGGTTGGAGGAAGGGGGAAGGAGGAGGAGGAGGAGGAGGAGGAGGAGGAGGAATGAGGACGCGGGGCAAGGTCCTGACAAAACGAAAACAACACACATCTGGGCGAAGGGCCCAGCCATATGCAGTTGTGCGTAACGCAATTGTGAGTTTCGTCTTCGGTGGAACTCTATTTGGGGCCAGGGAACAGATGAGCGGCGTGTCGAAATTGGTCTGGGGCCGCCATGCGATCGCAGCCACTGAGTCTTCGGTGGAACTCTTGACGTGACCACGAAACGTGTGGGAGGTGTGTGCCGAGATGGGTGGCGGAACTGCATGCGAACGCAGACACTGGGGCCTCCGGTGGAGCTCCCTATGCGGACACGAATGGTGTAGAGGGTGTGCCGAAATGGAAGGGTGAAGCTCATGTGAACGCAGCCACTGGGGCCTTCGGTTGAGCTCCCGATGGAGCCACAAAACGTGTGAGGGGTGTGCCGAAGTTGAAGGAGGATCCGCATGCGAACACAAATATGGGAGCCGTCGACGGAGCACCCTAAGAGGCCACGAAACGTGTAGGGGTGTGCTAAGATGTGGGACGCAACTGCATGCGAACGCACCCACTGGGGCCTTGGGTGGAGCTCCCTATGGGGCCACGGAGCATGTGAGGGGCGGAGCCACATGACGTGTGAGGAGTGTGCTGACATGGAAAGTGGAACCGCATGTGGCCGCAGCCACGGGGGCCTTGGGTGGAGCCCCTCCATGGGGCCACGGAACGTGTGGAGGCTGTGCCACGATGGGAATCGGAACTGCATGCGAACGCAGCCACTGGCCCTTCGGTGGAGCTCCCTATGGGGGCACGAAACTTGTGAGGGGCGTGCCGAAATGGACGGGTGAAACGCATGTGAACGCAGCCACTGGGGCCCAGGGAGGAGCTCCCTATGAGGCCACGAAACGTGTGAGGGGTGTGCCGAGATGCGGGGCGGAACCGCTTGCCAACGCAGCCACTCTTGCCTTCGGTGGGGCTCCCGATGAAACCACGAAGCGTGTGAGTGGTGCGCCGAGCTGGGGGGTGCAACTGCATGCAAACGCAGCCAGTGTGGCATTTTGTGCAGCCCATGGAACCACGAAGCGTGTGAGGGGTGTGCCGAAGTTGACATGCGGATAGCAGAGTCAGGGATGGGAGGAGGGAGGAAGGAGGAGGAATGGGGAGGAGGAGGAGGAGGAGAGGAGGAGGAGGAGGGGGAGGAGGAGGGGGAGGAGGAGGAGGGGACGCGGGGCGCTGTCTCGCCAACACGAGGTCCCAACACCCAAAGATGGCTAGGAGCCACAGGCGTCTCGTTCGCTGCCTGGCCGCCCTGTCGATCATCGGGCAAGCCTGTGTTCCGCTGTCTTTTGGGTGCCTGGAGCCGGGTGGCCCAGCAGCTGGAGCCCCCGCGGTCAACAAACAAAAAAAATCTCCTCAGCCTGTCATCCCCTCCTTGTCCTCCTTGTCCTCCCTGTCCAACTCCTCCTCCTCCTCCTCCTCCTCCTCCTCCTCCTCCTCCTCCTCCTCCTCCTCCTCCTCCTCCTCCTCCTCCTCTTCCTTCTCCTCTTCCTCCTCCTGTTCCACCTCCTCCTCCTCCTTCCTCATGCCCTCCCACCCGACCGCTGCTGCGACTCCGACTCCGACCCCGACTCCGACGACCCGCCGCGTCGGTCATCTCTGCCAGCGCGAGCAGGATGAAGAGCAGGAAGGCGCTGAGGAAATGCAGCGGATTGGCCTCCCCTCCGGACGCCACCCCCCCTTGGAGCGCCGAACCGGCGGCGGGGCCTCCGCCTCGTGCCCCTCCTTCCCCGGCCCTCCGCCTGCTCCTCCCACCCCTGCTGCCCGCCGGAAAGGAAGGGGAAGAGAGGGGGAGGTGAAGGGGAAGGGAAAGTGGCAGGAGGAGGGAGGAGGGAGGAGGAGGCGGAGGAGGAGGAAGCGGAGGCACAGGAGGAGGAGGAGGAGGAGGAGGAGGAGGAGCAGGAGGAGGCGGAGGAGGAGGAGGAGCAGGAGGAGGCGGAGGAGGAGGAGGAGGGGAACGTCTACCGCCTCAGACAGGGGAAGGGGGGGGTGGAGGAGAAGGAGGGGAGAGGAGGGAAGCGTGTGCTGCGACCTCGGACAAGGGGAATCTAAGGAGAGGGGAGGAGGAGGTGGCGGGATGATAATGGGGGGAAGGGGAGGGGAGGGGGGGGGGAAATGGGATGGATGACGCATGGGGACGACAGAGGGGGGGAGGAACGAGAACGGGATGGCGGGAGACTGGCCTCGCCGCGAACAGGAGAGGAGGGGGGACAACTCCTGCGAGGTCTTCGTGAGAACCATAACGGACGATTGGGCATTAAGTCTGGTGTAAGGCCAAATCAAACCAAATTAACCCTAAGCCCAAGACTATGCGCTATACATCAGTAAACGGGATTGAAGAGAAGGGGCCATATTGCGCTGGCATCGGGCGGAATATACCAAATAACATCCACCACCGTGCCTACACGGAGTGGGCGTGTTAGATTGCTCATCGGTCCCCTGGTTAAACTGTTCAATACGGCCGACCCCCATCCCCCTGCGATGCAAGCGTCCTGAGAAAATCGACCTCTCTTTCCAGGTCCGATTTGGGGCAAATTTCCAGATTGACAAACAAAGTCCCCGAGGGAAGCCAAACAGGTCTCCCCCCGAGGAGCGCCAAAGAGGCCCCACGAGGCCCCCAATTGGACCCCAACAGGCCCCCAAGAGGCACCCAAGAGAGCCACACACAGCCCGACAAGAGCACCCAGAATGCACAAGACGCCCAAAGAGGCCCTGAGGACCGCCAAGAGACCCCCAAGACGCGCCAAGAGGCTTTCAAAAAGCCCCCAAGGCGCCCCAAGAGAGAACCGCCAGGAGGCCGCCCCCAAGACGCCCCAAAAGGCATCAAAATGGCATCCCGAGAGACATACCAAGAGACTCCGAGCTGCATCCAGGAAGCGTCTGACCCACGGGGGCTCTCCGAACTCTCCAAACATGGCCATGCTCCCTCGAGAAGGGCAGCTCCCCCAGGCATTGTTCCTGGAGGGGCTGGTGGGGACACGCGAAGCGCTCAGAATTCGGACTCCATACTGCTACGCTGCTGCACATGCGGACATGCCTTAGCTTGACACAGGCAGCGGGGTAACTACCAGCGCCGATGCCAAAATCAGGCTCCCAGGAGATGCAGCAGAGGCGAGGGGAACGAACGGGGGCGGGGCGGTGGCGGAGTAATTACGGGCAGTGACGCCTCATCCTGCGCGGAGCCGACGATTCGACTCGATTCGGCTGACTCCACCCTTACGTGCTCGGCCAGGGACTCCGTGTTACCCCCATCGCTCCTGGGCCGTCTTCGGCGGTCTTCGGACGGTCGTCGGTGGTATTCGGCGGTCTTCTGGCGGTCTTCGGCTGTCTTTTGAGCATCGATTGCCCGATCGCTATCCCAAGCGGCGTGGCCTGGGCCCCACTGGCCGAGTTACCCCCTAGATGGGGAGGTAGGCCGTTCCCTCCGGGTTTCGAGGGGTGCATCCCCAACTGGGGGGGGTAACTTGGTGGGGATCTCGAAGGGGATGGGGATGGGGATGGGGGTCGGTTAAACGACACTGATCTTTGGCGGTTTCCAGCGGACTTCGGCGCGAAAGCTGGACGGCTGCGTTCTACAAGGGGCCAGTCCATGGTCGAACACCGCATCTGTGGCACCATGTCAACAGGACGTATGAAACTAATCCGTATCGTTTAACGGATCCCCATCCCCATCCCCATCCACATCTCGAGCCCCGTCGTCTCACCACCTCAGTTGGGAAGATGCCCCTCGAAACCCGACGAGAGCAGCCTATATCCCCATCCAGGGGGGTAAATCGGCCAGTGGGGCCCAGCCCACACTGGTGGGGATGGGGACCCGTGAAACGATGCACAACCAAACGATTGGCGCAGGGACATCCCCGTCGCGGTGGCTACCAGCTGGCGTGGCCCCACCGCCGAAGAAGCCCGTCAGGGCGCAAGCCGCCAGGGAGACGGCATGAGGGGACGGAAGAGCGCAAGCACCGACATGCCGTGCAGCCGTGCAGGGGGGAGGGGGCAGGAAATTCAAACGGGCTTCAGAAGTCACACGCACACAATTGGACACAAAGTCAAATATTCCCAATCGTTGTTTCATTTTGTCTTGATTTCCATGTTCCCCTCCATCTCGCATCGTTTCCCATGTTTTCCTGCGAATCAACGTCTGTGTGTGTCTGTGTTTATTTTCCCCTCCCGAGGAAAGGGCACAGAGCGCGCAAAGGCGGGGCTGGTGGGGCGCAGGAGGGACAGGAAAGGCACGCTGCAGGAGAGGATAATCCCACTGGGCCAGCCTCCTCCTCCTCCTCTTCCTCGCTTCCTCCTTCCTTCATCCTCCTCATCCTCCTTCTTCTCCTCCTCCTCCTCCTCCTCCTTCTCCTCCCGTCGTCGTCGTCCTCCTCCTCCTCCTCCTCCTCCTTTTCCTCCTTCTCGTGCCATCGTCCTCCTCCTCCTACCCTTCGCCCTCCTCCTCCTCCTGCCCCTCCTGCTCGCCAGCAGGTGGGCCGCGGCACGCTGCAGGAGACATCGCTCGGGCCCCAGAGATCCGCCCTCTTAACCCACCCCTCTCGGAGCAGGGCGAGTCGAGATGACGGCCAGGATCGCGCCGCATCGCCGACCCGTCGGCGGCGCATCGGCGACGTCGGCGTGGAGGACATCGGGCTCCACCTCGAGCCGCAACGCCGATGCGTCGGCGATGCGGCGCGATCCTCCGACCCCATCTCTCTTCGGAACGGGGCGAATTTGGACAACGGCAACTCAAAATCGATCCTCAAACCACTCCCAGGTTCCGAACGCACGGGTTTTCCGCGCTGCGTCCAGCCGTGGCGACGAGGGAACACCCCTACAGTCATCGGCCTGACCTAAGGAACGATAAATAAGGAACGAAGCCTCTTTTTCATCCCAAGGAAGCCCCTTTTTCACCCCAAGGAATAACGCATAAAAAAAACGATAAATAACAAATAACGCATAAGGAACTGTAAATAACGCATGCAAGCCTAAGGAACGACCGAGCCCCTTTTGAAAAGTAAGTGTTCCTTATTCAAGCCGCTCGCTGTAAGGCCAACTACTGTAGTTTCAACTAGCTCCCTACCAGATCATTGCGATCGGGTTTTCGGGCCGCACTTCGGCTCTGCGTCGGCCCTTCGGGACGAGATGGGCACCCCCGGAACGCCCTCGGCGAGGCGTAGCCGCTGGCATCCCGAGGCTGGGAAACCACCGAGCCGACAAAACCGGCCGAATACGTCGAACCATTGCCTCAACCTCGATACCCGAAACCTGGGCCTGCTCTGACTCTCCTGCCTCGAACGCGGGCCGGGGCTGACCCCCCACACAGCCCCAGCCCCCCCCCTGGGAAAACCAAAAAATACCCACGCCGCTAGTCCCCGGACCTCTCCCGGGGTGCGTGATGACCAGAATTTCGGGGCGAATCCAGCGGTGGCGACGAGGGCCTTCCAGGAGGCTGGAGCCCCAGGAGAACGAAAACGAGGAAACGGTAGCGGTAACAGTACCTTTGCCTTCTCTGACTCTCTGCCCGCCCGACCCAGAACTTGAAGTACGCCATGGGCAACAACAAGAAGCCGACGGGCCCCCCGGCCACCACGTGCGCCAGGGGGCACCAGGGCATCGGGTGTCATCGTGAATGCCGCGCCCGCCTTCTCCTCCTCCTCCTCCTCCTCGACTTCTTCCTCCTCCACGCTACCCCTCATCCCACCCGTCCTGCACCTCCTCCTCCTCCTCCTCCTCCTCCTCCTCCTCCTCCGCCTCTTCCTGATCCCCCTCTTCCCCCCCCTCCTCGTCGGCTTCATCCTCCTGCTGCAACTGTTACCATTTCTTCTCCTCCATTCCCTCGTCGTCTTATTCTTCCAGCTCCTCCTCTGAATCATGACGTTGCAAAAAAAACATCACGACTGTGGCCGCCGATGCCCAGCGGAGCTCCAGTGCAAGTCAAATCAACATGCGCGACGCAGAAATCGGGACGACATTACGTCAAGTTCGAACTCCATCCTACAACCCACTACGTTCAAGGGAACGTCGTCGACGATCCAACGACCAAGAAAGCGCAGTAAGTGAACGGCGGCCATCGCCTCACACAGTAGAGCTGGGAGCGCCATGTATTGGGAATCTCCCCCACACCATATTCGACCATCCTCCCGGAGAGCTCCCGCAATGAATTATCCAGCCACCAACTCTCAAAGAACCGAACAGACCACCGTCAAAACCGCAATGAACGTATTCCCAGGCGGTCGCACTTGAGCTCCAATGTCGGTCACGGGCTTGTCGAGCTCAAAGCCTTCCCCTGCAAGAGCATCGGCTTTTGAATTGTTCTCCCTTTACACGTGGTGGTTCAAATTCATCGTGCGCCTCATGTGGCAGCAATAAGGAAAAACTCGGCGCTTGGTCAAGACAATGTGTGCACGTCGTGACGGCCGTCTGGCCCGCCCTGTACTTTGCACGCCGCCGTCGTTGAAGCCAACGAATGACCATCATATTGCCGCCCGCGATAGCTAGCCGCAGCGCAAACGTGGTCGGACGAGTGTCCTAAGAAACTGTCCCTGGACTGACCTGCCTCGGTCGTTTCCGCTGGGGCTCCATTTCCAAGTTTCGATGAAATCCCCGTTGCGACGTTGCCATTCCTTCGGGTCGCGAGCGTACATGTTGTATTGTACCCTGCAGGCAAAACGAAAAACCCTGTCCCAGCGCATGTGGTG